CTGTACTGAAAATGCTACAACAACCTTACTGAAGGGAGTAGAAGGGAGAAGAAGAAAAGGTGCTGACCTTAATAACTGTGGGAATGAACAGATTTTATGACTACAGTGCTTACGGTGAAACGACACAGAAGGACTGCATCTAACCGATATCAAGTTGTTTCCCATGGGGATACACTGCTATACCTGTATGCTAGAATTGAATAATTAAATAAATGGATAGCAGATGGTGGAACCATGTTTCTCACTGTTGGTATGGGAATTAACAGATAAGGAAAGAAAGCTAGAATGAGCCATTGGATAATGGATCAGAGATGGAAAGATCAGTAAGAATTCATGTTTAACATATTTATATCTAGATGGTTACATATTAAAATATTTGTAGATGTGTTCATACGCACAGGTTAATACAGACACATAAATTTATTTGCCCTATCAACTGAGACAGTCTAAAATAACACCCCTTGGTCTTTAGATATCTACAATAGAAAAACGAAAGAAAGAAAGAACACTCTAGTAGTAATGAAAACATCTAGTACCTAGATCCTGGTTTCTAATACCATTTTCCAGTGAAAAGAACTAAGACTCCTTGGAAATAAAGCTGATTCTAGGAACAGGATATGTACAAGGTGAGCCTGGAGCATCCTGTAGTACCAGAAAGTAAAAATACTGAACACATGCACCCATACACACTGAGGACATATGTCAAAGGAGCTCAGGAGGCCACTGAAAGAGCTCCCAAAGCTAGAACAATCTGAGCAACAAAGTAAAGCCTGCCAAGCAGAACTCCAAAGGATTTTTGTAAACGTTTTATTCTAAAGGAAGGAGAGCATAACCCCCGAGTCTTTAAGTGTGGATATGAATTCCTTCTGAAAAGCACAATTTGAAAAGGGAAGGAAAAAAGAGTACATTTACATTAGAGAAAACTGACGTGACTTCAGCCACTTAATCAAGGTCAACATCAATAATCATACGTCATGTGGAAAGCGTATACCTCTCATACGATCTGATAATAGTCACTCCGCCTCTGTGACCTTTCTCCCAAAAACCCATTAAGCCCAGTCTAACCATAAGAAAAACATCAGACGGAACTGGACAGTTGGACAGAACTTCTACAGTGTTCTTTTTCATAGTTGAGATAACTTTACATTTCGAAACCAGATCTGAAGTATTAATAAGTATTAAAATGCTTCCACATTAAGAATACTTAAAATAAATTTATGTTATCTAGATAATTGGTTTGTCTAGTATTCTGAATCTAAAGAATATAGTCATCTACAGATACCTCTATGATCATAATATTTGATTAATAGCTGTTTCCCAGGATGGGTGCAGTGACTCATGCCTGTAACCTCAGCACTTTGGGAAGCTGAGACAGGCAGATTACTTGAGATCAGAAGTTTGAGACCAACCTGGCCAACATGGTGAAATCCCTTCTCTACTAAAAATACAAAAGTAGCTGGACATAGTGGTGCATGCCTATAATCCTAGCTACTCGGGGGCTGAGGCAGGAGAATCGCTTCAACTCGGGAGGTGGTGGTTGTTAGCGGAGACCACGCCGTTGCACTCCAATCTGCGTGACAGAGTGAGACTCTGCCTCAAAACAAAACAAAACGAAATCAATTTCTCATACATCAGCAATAGGTTTATTATATTTATATGTAAATATACACCATTTATATTTATTATATTTATACGACTTAAGGTTTTGATGACCTGATGCTCTAAGTCCATGATTCTCAATAGGGAATGAATAAAATCTAATAACCAAAACTTTGTGGCTGAGGAGAAAATACAAACAATGATGGCAGGCGACTAGATTAACCTGTGGATGCCAAACATGACTGCAAAAGAAAAGAACACTTAGAAAGACTTGGGGAGGGAGTGGGGTCACAAAATAAAATTTAATTTAAAAAGAAAGGCAATAAAGTACGTTAAAAAAAACTCCAAGAGATCTTTCTTCACAATGACTGTTTCTGTATCTGCACAAAATTCCCTATGCCACTATGTCAGACAATCTCTATAGCACTCAGTATGCAAAATGCTAGAGCAAGATGAACTAAATTCAAAGACCCTTTTGACACTGAATCCATCCATTTATTCCAGAGATTCCCACTCAACCAAATGAGACATTAAAGAAGAATAAAGAATCAGTTTTGTGCAGTGTTTAATAAGAGTACACATTTGATAGTTAACAAGCCTGGTTGATCTGCAGCTTTGCCTTTTATTACCCATGCAACATCAGTAAAGTTTTTTTTTTTTTTAATTCATTTATATTTTTGAGACAGTGTTGCTCTGTGGCCCAGACTAGAGTGCGGTGGTGCAATCAAAGCTCAGTGCAGCCTCAACACTGGGCTCAAGCGATCTTCCCACCTCAGCCTCCTGAGTGCTGGTACTACAGGTGTATGCCACCATGCCCAGCTAGGTTTTTTTTTTTTTTTTTTTTTGAGAGACAGGGTCTTACTATGTTGCCCAGGCTGGTCTCAAGTTCCTGGGCTCAAGGGATCCTCCCACCTTGGCCTCCCAAAGTGCTGAGATTACAGATATGAGCCATTGCACACGGCCAGGTAACCTTCTTAACCTCTGTTCCTTAGTTTCTTCACCTGTAAAATGGTTCCTAATTTAAAGGGATGCTATGAGGACGAAATGAGATAATCTAGGTAAAATTCTTAGTATAGTACCTGATACATGGTACTGTTTGCTATCATCATTATTACATATTTCAAAATTCCCTCACTATCAAACTATCTGGTCTTTGTTACGTATAAAAGGCAAATACGTGACCCACCAACCTTTCAGAGTTCCACAGTATCTCAAATCAGATGACAAAAACAGGCGTGGACACAGAGCCCACAACTCAAATAAGTCTGTACCTCAAAAGTTCACCTTTTAGTCAGTGGAACACATTTCCCTAAGTGTACAATTAAAACAAGCCGTGGCTGTTATTCCCACTGCAGGTGAAAGGTGTGAGGAGGCAGGTCTGAGCATCTCACTGACCAGTACCACTGCTCTGCTGGGGAAGGCATCTTAGTACCTAAGAAGAAAAGAACACCGTGATCCTGGGAAAAAGACGTCTTCCCCTGTCATTGTAGCGGCTTGAAAATACATCTTATTCTCAAGGACTTCAAGACCTTAGTCTGCAGTGTTCAAAGAACATCACAGCACTTGCTGTATTAAGAAACACTCCAACCCATAATACACAAAGATTATAAAATAAAAAACTAGGGATTTGTTTCTATTTCAAACTCTGACTATGCTTTGGGTAACAACCTTTCAAAAGCAGGACACTTTCTAATTGACACTGTCAGAGACCAGGAAGTGTCCCCCAAAACATGCCTCTTTAGCATAAGGACTGTTTTGAGCTAAAGGCAATTAAGCAGCAGCAGATGGAGGAAGGCTCTCGGCCCTGCCGCTGTTTGCCTAAAATCAGGACAAATAATAGATTCACAAAGACAAAAGGTATCCTGCCCACCTCTCTACCAGGGAAAAACAAAGGTTAACCACTGAAGACAACCTTAGACCCTTATCAATCTGGAGATGGCACAAGAGAATCCACATTAACGAGCTTTACTCATTAGCCTTTATCTGTCAGTTGCTCACCTTCTCACAAGTTGTCACCCTTAGAAATTCAGAGTCCATTTCCTTTGTCTTGTCACTTCTCTAAAATTTTACTGCTCTTTGTTGAGGATGCTACCTAATCTAGGGGGAGTGTGCAGAATGAGAGAGAAAGAAGAGAAGAGAGGGGAGAGTGTGAGCGGAATTGTTTCAAGGTGAGCAGGTCTATGTGAACCTACCCCTAAAAGTCTGAGGAAGCTGAGAGGCCGAAGAAAAGCGGCTAACATATTCAGTTTCTTAGAAAGACACATTTAATGAGAACTTACAAACAGAAGCCATGTCCCTGTCTCAGGCTTTGGCAGGACAAGACAATGGATCTACATGCCACTAACCCCCAGACCCAGGGCTTATATCATAGGAAAAGGGTGATTCTGAAGCAATGTGTAGGACAAGCAATGTACAGTAACTCCAAGGATGTTTGACCTCAGGTCAGGATTTACAGTAAGTACCTGTTCTTACACAAGGAATACTATATAACCTGGAAATCTTACAGGTATCTAAAAACTAGGGCTAATGAGAAGTCAACAAGGCAGATCAGCATCCAAGATGGAGTTGCTTTGGCCTCCACAGGAATAAAACAAATATAACAAAATGTTAACACAGGGAATCTGTGTGAAGAGCATCCACGAATTCTTTGTCCTGTTTTTGCAACTTGTCTATGAGTTTGAAATTATGTCAAAGGAAAAAAATTACATTGGATATAAAGCAATACATTTGTCAAAACCAGTGGAACTAGCTGTGAAATCTGAGATTGCACCATATATAAATAACACTTCAATTAAAATAATAAAACCTTATTTTAGATGTTTGATCAAATGTCGATGACTGGAACACTTCAATAATTAAAAACAGAGAAGATAAACCCATCAAGGATGTAAGAGAATGAAGATGAACTTCATGCCTACTTTTAGTTCGAAACAATAAACGAGCACCACCATTTCTGTGTCTGTGACCACAATTACCAGCAGCTCTCACGATTTCCTCTGTGCAGCCTCTGCTCTCCTCCCACCATGCTTCCCCCTGCGACCACCCCACACTCTCTGTGCTCATCTGGGTACCACAACTAGCTATACTACACTCCCTTGCTAATCAACCTCCAAACACTTAAACCCATTAACAGCAAACCTGGATATTACCTGTTTTTAATCAAAAAGTAAAAAGCCAAAAATGATGGTCACAATCCCTCATGAGGACACAGACTGTTCAGTGAGAACCCTTGCGGAAGGCCCTCCGCAAACGCCAGGGCATAGAACAGGGGCTCGCCCAGCACCTGGCTTAGAACCCAGGTTAAGCTTCCAAAGTACTTTAGGATTTATTAAAGATTACTAGATCATAATCAGCAATTTTTTAAAATACCAATAAAATAAAATGGCTTTCACATCTCATACCTTGCTTTAGAAATACTATAAATTCCTTTACAGTTTGGTCCAAATTCACTCCACGATACACTACAGGTTTGAAATTCCGATGTTCAAAAGAACGGATGAGGCGAACTGTGACGGTCACTTCTTCAGGAGCCATGTGAAGAAATTCCTGTGCCAAGAGACATAAGAACCATCTAAATGAAGCCAGTTCACAGCTGTCCACTAGCTCTTACCTGCATCTCTGTCATCAGCTCTGTGGCACCAGCACCCTCTTCCCTGTGGCATGATCACTGACAGAGTCCCCAAACAGAAGCCAGGTTCCAGGGCCCCCGGAAGAGTCCTAGTGATTAAGCCTAACTATCCACTGCAATCCTGGATGGCTCTGTCACAGTCACAGATGTTCTGAACAGCAGAAAACTGACAGGGTAGAGAAGATGAACTGAAGTAACACAGGGGCATGTGTACATGTGGAAGCAGAGAGGCAGGATGGCCGAACACAGACACACAGCAGACACACGCCTACTGTGGGTGCCCTATGTCAGTGAGCTCCTCAGCTGGCCCTGAGATGGAAGCACATTTACATTAGAATCAACTATCAACAGACAGCATTTAAATCACATAAATGCTGCCAGATTTCAGGGCCAATTTAATTATATACGATGGTGTTACCCATCTTTCACATTACTAAAGCTGAGTATGTATATTTCATCCTAAAACTAAGTGCTAGGCGCATGTGTCAGGTCTTAATGTTACCTCATTTAATTCATTTAATTCTCTCACCAAACCATGAAGCATTTTGCCTCATGGTTTGGTGAGAGAATTTAAAGAGATAACATTTTAAAGATGAGAAGACTGACTTGGAGAAATTGTTAGTAATGATGGAGTCAGGATTCAAGTATCTATTTTAATTCCAAAGCCCATGATTTCTAGTGTGTGTGTGTGTGTGTGTGTGTGTGCGCGCGCGCGCACATACATTTGTGTGTGTGTGTATGTACGTGTGTATTCCACACAAATTGGAAAATTACCCCAAATTATTTCCTCCAAAAAGTTTCTGCACAGTTGCCAATGTTTTCTTCTATGCTTAAAAAATATTTTTGTTTTAAAATCTTTTAAGCATACAGTTAAAAAAAAGAACCTGCTACACTATCCTGTCAAATCTTAACATTCTGATGCATCTATACCAATTTTTAGAATGGAAAAAAAAAAAAAAAAACACCTGGGAAGCCCTGTGTACCCTCCCCAATTCCAACAGCACTTCCTGCCCTGGGAAGACACAGCAGTAACTCACACACACCATTCCAATACATCATTTTACACTCTGATTCTCTTATCATTTGAATATACAGAAAATAGACTATTATACAAAGCAGTTACAACACTTTCTATGTTTTTTTTAACTTGGTTTTGTTTGAGACAGGGTCTTACTCTATCACCCAGGCTGGTCTCTAACTCCTGGGCTCAAGTAATCCTCCTGCCTTGGCCTCCGAAACTGCTGGGATTATAGGTGTGAGCCACCGTGCCCAGCAACACTTTCTTTATATATCAACAATGCTTACATGCCAGATGCTATTTTAAGTGCTTAGCATTCACTGTATTGACTGCCCACTTACCTCCAATCACCCTGTGAGGTTGGTAAGATCATCTCATACAGAAGAAGTGAAACACAATCTGAAGCACTGTGCCCACAGATACACAGAATGGTTAACTTTACATACATGGTGTATTATATGTAGCTTCCGCAAGCTTCTCAGCATTGCTTTTCATTTATCTGTGTTGAAAGATGTAACTCTAACTCTCACATTCACTTCCTGAAGTATCAAAAAACTATTTGTTTTAAAGATACAAGCAGGGCATAGTTCTATCCATAGTAGCTACTTTGTGCTACTTACAACTTTGCATGTAACTTTCAACCATAATACACAATATGAGTATTAGAAAAAAATACCTGTAATACTGATGAATGCAAAAAAAGATACACAACCTCACTAGCAGTCAGGGAAATTCAAAATAACGAGATACATCACTCAGCTAACTGATAAATTTAAAAATCCAATGATACCTACTATTGACAAGGGTAGAGAGCAATGAAAACCTCATCAGTGATGGCAGGCACTCTAAGGAACAGGGTTTTTGGAGACAATTAAGTAATATTTAGTAAAACTGAAGATACATATACTTTTTGATCCTACAATTTCATTCATGTGTAGGTACTCTGAGGAATGTCACATATATCCACAAGGAGGAACCATAAAAGAACATTAATAGCACACTGCAAAAACTGGAAACAACTGTCCATCAACCGCAGAACAGATAAGTAAATGATGGTGTATTCATAGAATGGAATATGACAAGCAATAGAAATGAATAGATTGGAACTACAAGCATCAACATGGACAAATCTCAAAAATATTACTGGAAGTGGAAAAAAAGTAAGTTGCAGAAGAATCAGAGCATCCCATACTATCATTTATACAAAGTTCATAAACATAGTCTTTATTTTGTTTGATAGGAGACAATAGCCAGGCACAGTGGCTCAAGCCTGTAATTCCAGCACTTTGGGATGCCGAGGCAGGAGGATCATTTATTGTCTGGAGTTCGAGACCTGTCTGACCAATGTGGTGAGACGCAGTCTCTACTAAAAACACAAAAATGAGTCAGGTATGGTGGCGGGCACCTGAAATCCTAGCTGCTCAGGAGGCTGAGGCAAGAGAATCCCTTGAACCGGGGAGACAGAGGGTGCAGTGAGCAGAGATTGCACCACTGGACTCCAGCCTGGACAGCAAAACGAGACACTGTCTCAAAGAAACAAACAAAAAAACAAGTTCCATGAATTTAAGAAATTAACATACATTAAACACAACAATTCCTCGCACACAGAAGGAACTCAATAACTAGTGCTGCTTTTATCATTATTATTCTATTTAAACTAAAATAGATTTGGGTATAAAGATAGCTCATACAAGCAGCAGATAAACATAAATTCCTGAATGTAATGAAACAAAGGCTGGGCAGGCTGGCAACTGTATTCCTCATGAAACTGTTTTTCACAATTACAGGGTTGTTATTTTCACTTAATAAAAAGCTGCCCATATACTGTACTTAAATAGTTAAACTTTTCCATTTAAACCCCAAAAGTTGTGTTATATCTAATTTTGGACAAGTATTGCCATCTTTCTAAAAAATGTGCTTCAATTTATACTCAGTAACAAAACAATAGCTACCATCAGAAGGACCATTATCTAATTTGCCCTAAGGACAGTGGGACATACAGCTTGCTTGCCTAGAGAGGCTGATATACTGAAGAGCCAGCTCAGAAGACTGACCTTACAACTAATAAAATCTGACATTTTTCCCAGAAGGTTTGGTCTAGTTTTTAAAAAATGAATCCGATCAATTTTAAAAAGCATTCCTCAAATAAAAGGACAGAGAAGCCAACAAAAATAAACTTCAGAGTAAATTAATAAAAAATGTTCAAGGACATAAAAGATTTAAATAAATGAAATGATAGACAATGTCCTTAACTGCAAAGGTTCAAAGTAGTAAAGAAATCAAGTTTCCCTAAATCAACCTATGCATTTAATAGAACCCCAATCAAAATATAAAAGGGCTGTTTGGGAATCTTGACACAAATAATTCCAAAATTCATCCAGAAGAATGTGTGAGCTTTATCAGCAAAGTCGTAAAACAACAAAAAAGAAAAGAGACCAGTGACACTAATTATTAAAACACAGTATAAAGCAACCATTATAAAGGAACAAGTTTGTTTGGTTTTCATAATCTTACAAAATCCAATAACCATTTTAATGCAAAATCAAGCTACAGTAACATAAACTGTGATATTGGAGCATAAATAGATGGACAAACCTGTGAAATCTAACAGAAAACTCAGACTTAAGATTATAGAAAATTTAGTATAAGACAAAAGTGGCATCTCAAATCAGTGGGGAAAAGATAGTTTCCTTAATAAACGGCATTGAGAAAACTGTTCAGACATTTGGAGAAAAGTAATACTGGATTCGTATCTCACTCCTTACATAAAAATAACCTGTCCATGAAACAAATATTTAACTATAAATTCATGGAGAGACACCAGAAGAAAATAGGTACGTATTTTTATAACCTTAAGATGAGAAAAGCTCTCAGCAAAGACAAAGCAGCAATCATCAAGGAAAAGATGGACAGTTGTAATAACATAAAAATGTAAAAAGAGACCAATATCCTAATAGAAACAAGGATAAAGGTAATTAACAGAGAACTGGCTAAATTTAAGCCAATAATGGGAAAAGATCAGCTTTACTTCTAACTAAAGAACTGAAAGAGAAACAGGTATCAATTTTGCCATCAGACTGGTATAGTAAGAATAATTAAAAACTGGCCAACCAGTGTTGGCAAGAATACAGAGAAATAAATATTTTTTTATAAACTACTGGCAAGAACATAAAATGAAACAGCCTACCTCGAGGTGAGTGAGTAATCTTTATCAAAATTTTAAATTTGTCTACCCTTTGATATGGTAATTTCTCTTCTAATAATTCACCCTGAGAAGATAATAATATCAATTATTTTATAAACCCATGAGTTCATAATAACACTTTTTTAAAAAGCTAATTAGTAATTCTGGAGGCTAACAGGCCACTAATTTGTTTTTCTGAAAAGTGGCTTTCCAAAGTGAGGGTTGGTAGAAATAAGAAAAGCAATCAAACATTTTACCCTTCCTTTCTTGTACAGACAGTATTTCAGGGTTATCAAACAGCTAATGGAAAAAAAAAAAAAAAAGTTTCTTCTTTATAGAAGAATTACAGATAAAAAGTACTAAAAGAATAAAATTTTTAAATCATAATTTGCATACCTATCAGGATGGCTAAAACGAAACACAGCAATAGCCCCAAATGTTGGTGAGGGTAGAGAAATTCACATACATTGCTGGTAGGAATGTAAAATGGTATTAGCCAGTATAAAAAAAGAATATGGCAATTTCTCACAAAGCTAAACATACCCATTATATGACCCAGTAATTGCATTCTTGGATATTTATGCCAGAGAAACAAAAACTTACGTTGACACAAAAACCTGTCTATGAATGCACATGGCATATCCATGTGTAATATCCAAAAACTGGGCAACAATCCAAAGCCCCTTTAACATATGAATGGTCAAACAAACTGCCAT